AATAACGCTCACTAATCATACAGTGCTATTTTTAATAAAAAAACTGAGTTGAAAAGTCCTTTATCATTTTGAAATTTTCAATAGTTAACGAGATATTAATTTCTAAAAATTGCTGAGTAAACGGATAAAATTGGTGTATAAGACAATTTTAATCTTTCTGTATTCTTTGTGAAATAATTTGAAAATGTTTCTTAAAAAACTCTTAAAAATATCTTAAAATTGTCATGTACGTCGCGATTTTAGGCATTTTGCTCATTGGGTGATTAAAAAAAATACTGCGAAAATTGCAAGATGGTAGAAGACTTTTCGACTTAGTTTTTTAGAAATAGCCATTAATTAAATGGAGGTTATTTCAGGTATGCCATGTATATATAATGTATATTCGTTGTATTTGAGATTTAAAGAAAGAACTAAAATCAAGATCGAAATTGAACATTAAAGATATTTCCGAATATTCCACATAATCTTCCAGTTCTTTGCAACAATATTCAAATGGCCTGATATCTTTCAGTGATATTTTAAACTTAACTCTTTGCACTAAATATCTTTCTGTGTTAAAGAAAAAAATAGTATTATTTTATACAAGAAATTTTATTATATTCAATTATTTAATTATATGTTTATATAATTTAATTATTATTCATTATATGTTTATATAAATTGGATTTTTTGCACTAGAGTATAAAAATATAAATGTAAGTCTCTCTCTCTCTCTCTCTCTCTCTCTCTCTCTCTCTCTCTCTCTCTCTCTTCCCCCCCTTCACATTATCGAATACATTTATACATGCATTAATGTGATTAACAAAATTTTATAAGATTTACGTTAAAACTTTTTACATTAAAATATTTTAGTGCAAAGAGTTAATGACTACTCGGTTGTGGAGTATTCGTCTAAAACGTACAAATGTTAACGCGGACAATAAATAGAATTTTATTTCTTCGAGTATATTAATAAAGATAAGAAAAAAGATAATTGCATTAGCAATTGTTAAGCGACTAATTAAATAATAATAATAGCAGTCCTCAATTAAACAATGACAAAATCGTTATTGATTAATTAAGATAAATCATATCTTAACATCATATCATAAATAAAGATAAATCATATCTTAACATCATATTATTTGTTACAAGGTACATTTTATCTTATACTCGCTCGATCTTCCTCAAAAGAAAAAGACTTTGTTAGAAATAGAAAAATGCATTTTATATTGTATTCTTAGAAATGTTGATATTATTTATATGAATTGAAGATTATTTCTTTATCTTTTAGTGAATGCTACTGTATTTTTTGACTGGTTATCTTTCATTATTTTTCATCTGACATCTCTAAATTCTAATGTTTTAATTTTTAAAATACAATCGACAATCTCAAATTTAATTTCATTAATCTATTTTACCAATATAGATTAATTTTAACCTTTTGATTTAAATTACTTTTCATCTTCCAGTTGTAAAAATTAAAAAAAGATAAAGAGTAAATTAAATCAAAATTAAAGTTAATTATTGGTAGAAATAGATAGAAAAAAATAAATCTAAAAAAAAAATATTAAGAAGAGAAAATGTTGCAGCCATTTATTGTCGTCATGGCTGCTATAACTGGAGCTATAAAAAGAGTGATCTATCCTATTGCACTTTTGTTAATCATATATTGTCGATGTAGCTTGCGCAATAACAACAATACACCGATGGCGAATGGTAGTAATTATTATTACATATAATTGCGATGATTGCGATACATATA